GAGTTTATAACAATTAGGGAAAGAAAACGAGAATGGTTAGACATATAAAATATTTTGTATGAATCATTGGGTTGTGTAATTGGCATTACGTCATAAGTTTGAACCTTATTGTCGTTCTTTTGAATAAATAAATCAAAAAAATTATGAAGTACTATCAAGGATTGAAATTTCAGGACCTCTTTGGTCATAGAGAACCTAATAATACCATGTCAAAAACTAATTGTCCTAAAAAGTTTAAGATACAAGGTGCGCTCAAGAATGGATAGATAGTGTTTGTTTCAATCATTGAAAATAATACAGTTCTCTTACTGAATGTTATTTCTTTTTCTGGTCACTGACATTTACATACTAAAAGTATTAAAAATTCTAAATAATGCTTCATGATCAGGTATTGAACAATAATGCTGGATCCGGATATGAAGCTCCTGAAGTTGGCTTGTCTGGTCATTACACTCTTAAGAGTGATGTCTATAGCTTTGGAGTCGTCATGTTGGAACTTCTCAGTGGACGAAAACCATTTGACAGGTGAAAGATTGATATAACATTAACATCACAATATTTACATGTACATACATTCCAACATAAAAGGGCACATGCATGATTGTTTAAACTTCTCTTCTACAGCTCAAGGCCAAGGTCTGAGCAGGCTTTGGTTCGATGGGCAACACCTCAACTCCACGATATCGATGCTTTGGCTAAAATGGTTGATCCTGCATTGGAAGGACTATACCCTGTGAAGTCTCTATCTCGATTTGCGGATGTTATTGCTCTTTGTGTTCAGGTAATATATTAATGTCAGTCATGTTTCATTCAAAATTTACTATTTTTGTGAATAGGCAGCAAATCTCTATTTGAACTGTTAAACAATAATTGTACCTCACTCATAAGTGCTATGCTCAAGCAATAGGGTACCCTTGGGGATGAACAAAATATAAATGTAATAATGGATTATTATGTTATTCTAATTTTACTTTTGGGGCAGCCGGAGCCAGAATTCCGACCACCGATGTCAGAAGTGGTTCAAGCATTGGTTCGATTAGTACAGCGTACTAACATGAGCAAACGGACGTTTGGAACTGATCAAGGAGGATCCAACCAAGGAGGTGATAACCAAGAAACACAAGACATGTAAATGGGAACAAAAGCCTTGTGTTGATAGAATGGCAGAAAAGGAAAACAATATTAATATTTTCATCATTTCTTCATAACCCCTCAGCCAGTTTCTCTCGAGTTAGATTGGTTGCACCTTTGATTATTGAAGCTAGAGAACTATTGGTGTATGTTTCTGAGCTATTTCTTTTATTGGTGGTATAAATTTCAATAATTTAACCTTTTGCAAAATTGAAGCTCGGTTAAGATTGATGGTTGCCATCTTGTTGTAATAAGTAGGAATCATAGTTAAGCTTTTTCATCCTATTTTGTGATTGTATGGGTCCAATATTTTGTATTAGTCTAAACTCTAAATAAATATTCGACCTGTGTTGGGGTCATTTTTCTCCACTGCTTAATCTTCATCAGGGTTAATGACTCAAAAAATGAACCATTTTGTGTTTAACTTGAAGATGCCGTGTGAAAGGCTCATCATAAAGTAATATAGCAATGTTTTGGCTCTTCTATCAACCACATTGTCACTGCTCAGATTATCATCAGCATTAATTTTTCTTATTTCTTGTTTTTTTTTTCGTGTTTCTTGCTCAAACCTAATCCCATAAAGATGATAAGATGCTTGGAACAAGGAGTAGCATCTAGTGTCAGATGGGGAAAAAGTGCATTAATTGGATCAAGAACCTCTAAAGATGGAATGACATCAAATTCATTCTGGTGGTGGTCACACGAGAAAGACGCTTCTTGTGCAAAGGAGATCCTTGTTAGAGATCAAAAAACTTGGTTAGGAAGATGCTTGTTAGAGATCCTAGTAAACCCCCAACATATTAGTCGCAACTGGTAAATGTTTTTCACCCAAACATTTTTTTTTTATGTTTGTGTAAAATTAGTCTAATTGTGAAGAATTTTAATAATTTATGTTAGAGTAAAACTCTATAGATTAATCTAATTATTTATATACCGTCGATGTAAAATTTCTATTATATAAATTCCTCGAACTATGTTTAAAAAGCAGTAAAAAGAAATGATTTAGACTTAATGGATAAGTTTAAAATATTAAGAATTAAAAACTTTGAAGCATCAAATTTAAAAGTTAACTATTGTGGTGTTGTTATTGTATAAAAGAATTTGTTAACTACATCTACTTGTTTATTTAATTGATTATCTTGTAAAAATGTTTTTTTTTCAATCAAGTCTTTTTAAATATGAATGTGAAATCTTTAATTGTGATTTTTTATGTAGTATATTATCATCCTCCAACTAAAAAAATCGTAAATATATAATAAAAAAATCTTTTGTATAAATTAAAAGTCATTATCTTAAATAGTTCAATATTTGTCCTCCTTAATTAAAGATTGGAGTATTATTTTTATTTTGGAATATCACTTTACTTTTATAAAAATTGGTCCAATAAAAAATTATACCTCTTTATAAAAAAAAAATCTCGTGTAAAAAGAGTTTGCAAATAAAGTAACTTTAATTTCATAAATGTTCAACAATCATTGAGAAAAGGAGGCATGATGCGAGAACCATATGTTCATAGATCTTAGTGTGGATAAAACTTGAATATTTGTACTTACAATTGTGTTGTATGTAAAACTTACAAAATCATTAATATATAAGTCATATAATGGATAGGTAGATTATTTGTGAGTAAATGTTAAAAAAATATTTACCTACAAATTTTTAATTTTTAGTAATAATTTATGTCTATACTATAAGTCATGACATGCCTTATCCAAATCAAAACCTAATTCAAATATTTAATGTAAAAAAAACATTAATAATCAATTCATATATATTAAACATGAATTTTATTCCTATCATGCAAGAGAAGACTATTTTACAACGTGAGAATTTGCAAAAAAGAAAATTTTAATTTGTATCTAATTCAATTATTATTTATCATAATTATTTATAAATAAAATATTAATATTTTAAATAAATTATTAATAAATAAAATAATTTATATTATAATATAAACTATTTATATAAATGTAACATATTATTTATATATTTAAAAATTTTATTTAATATTTATATAAAATTTTAAATATAATTTATATATTCAAACATAATATTTATTATTTTAATTTATTAAAATTTTTAATTATATATAATAAACATATTTGAACATTGCATAGATTAAAATATTTATAAATAAGACTACAGTTCAGTTCCTATAACATTTAATATAGGGTTTTAGTCTCAGATTTTTAATTTTACAATCTCGTAAAATTTATTGCATAGATTAAAATATTTATAAATTAGACTACAGTTCAGTTCCTATAACATTTAATATAGGGTTTTAGTCTCAGATTTTTAATTTTACAATCTCGTAAAATTTACAATTTTTGTTTAGTTTCATTTGACAGTTAACATTGTAACAATAATTCTAATTTAACACTAAATAATTCACACAAAATTAACTTTTATTAATATTTAAATTAAATTATAATTTTAACAATCATTTTTACCACATAAAAATAGTACATACTACAAAGTAATAAAAATTAAAGACTAAAGATACATTTTAACTTAAATATTAATTTAAGTTAAATATTAATCATCATGCCATTTCCTTAATAAGTTAATATCATCTTAATATCAAGTCATGTTTGATATTATAATTTTACCGGATGAAATTAAACCAAAATTACAAACTAGGGACTAAATTCATTAAACTGAATACTATAGGAGGAAAAAGAAACAACATAGACTAATTTATAATCATTGTTAATATTTTCATCCAACAAAACTCGAATCAAGTTACTCAAATCCTAACCAATTTCACCATGCAAATGACAACACGAAGATGATTTTTCCCCAATAACGAACAACTGCAATTGATAATAAGTATATTCTTTAAAGGCTAAAAGAAGGTTTTACTCAATTTTGCACGTAAAACATCAAGGAAACGTTTGCTACAGGCGAGGATGCATTCAAACAGGAGTTTCACAGAAAGAATCACACGTCCTTCAATTTTCACAGGGGAAAATAAATATTAATTGTACGTTCTAAAACGGTCATGGTCCCGGGGAAGAGATGAAAGAATAACTCAGTTGTAGACCATATACTTGGGAGTTGCACTGAACTTCTGGTATCCTTTGATGACTTTATTTACTGCATCAAGGAAGTCTTTCTCTGTTACAGTCTTCCTCCGAGCACGGATAGCATACATACCAGCTTCTGTGCATACACTCCTTATATCAGCTCCTGTAGAAAACAAAAAGTTCTCTATCAGAAAACCTATGTATAGAAATACTTGAGAATGAAGCACACAACATTAGAAAGCAAAGCTTTAGAGCATCAGAAAGAATGGAAGCTTCAAAGATCTCTCAAAACCAAAAACAAGTTTGACCAGAAATTATACTAGCAATATACTGAAATCCTTAATAAATTGATGGTCAAAAGTACAAGATAAATTATGAATTGCCTAGTATTTAAAACTGTTCGTACCTGTGGAATTTGGGCAAAGTCGAGCCAAAAGTTCAAACCGGATATCCCTTTCACAGTTCATGGTTCTTGTATGTATCTTGAATATCTGTGTCCTACTCTCCAAGTCAGGAAGGCCAAATTCAACTTTACGGTCCAATCGCCCAGGCCGTAGTAGTGCTGGATCTAGGGTGTCAGGCCTAGAAATTGTGGACAAAAACACAAACTATAAGCCCAACTTAGTAGCAGAACTTCCTAATTGAAGAAAAACAATCACAGAACCATGTAACATTTGCAAAGCAAGTTGAAAAGAACTCAGCAATATGACCATGCAAGAAAAAATGAATTTTAAAGAACATTTGGAATGGCTTCATAGTTATGACAAAACTGACTCTTTACACACTTAATCACTTAGAGACATACTCTCAACAAAATCAACCAACCTGTTAGTTGCCATCAAAACTTTGATGTTTCCCCGAGCATCAAACCCATCAAGCTGATTCACAATTTCAAGCATGGTCCGCTGAACTTCATTGTCACCACCAACACCATCGTCAAAACGTGCACCTCCAATTGCATCAACTTCATCAAAAAACACAATGCAAGCCTTCTTTGAACGAGCCATCTACATGAAATAAAAGTTTGGTCAAATTATTCACTTTCATGAAAACAATGATCAAAAGCTAGAAAACGGGTCTTATGTGTTTACCTGAAATAGTTCACGAACCATCCTAGCCCCTTCACCAACATATTTCTGAACTAGCTCACTTCCAATGACCCTTATAAAACAAGCATCAGTCCTATTAGCCACAGCCCTGGCTAGAAGTGTTTTCCCAGTTCCAGGGGGACCATAACAAAGAACACCCTTCGGAGGATCAATCCCAAGCTTGACAAATTTCTCTGGATGAAGCATGGGAAGTTCAACAACCTAGCAGGGAAATTACAACTTAGTGCCCCGTGATTTTACTTCAATATAATGTAAAAAACAAAAAGTTACAATGACTTACTTCACGCATCTTTTCAATCTGCTCCTTACAACCACCAACATCATTATATGTCACATCTGGCTTCTCTTCAACTGTCATCATGGTTACACTCGGATCAATTTTTGGAGGCAAAGGAATCTGAATCTGATATTTGTTTCTATCAACACTGCAACGATAAAATGAAGGTCAAACAAACAAGCAGACATGGCCATAGAGTTCCTCTTCTTTCTGTAGTTAATATTCTAGCATCAAATTACTCATTGGAAACATACCCAACACGCATGCCTTCCTCTATGTCAGTGGGGGAAACCTTGTCTCCTAGCCCAACAACAAACTGCCATCATCAAAGCAGAAGGTATATAAGATATATTAGACCCAGCTTGACAACTTGAACATATAACAAGGGGAAAAAAACTTGGCATTTTATGTGGCATAAGACAATTGATCAGCAACTGCTATCTTAATTAACAAGTGATGCCAGACATCTTCAAACAAAAACCTATCTGATATATAAGGGGATTTTGAAAAGATTGTTACAAAAATAAAAATATAAGCACCTTTGCAATCTGCTTCACATTAATAACATATTTGGCATCTTCAGAGTTTGGATTTATAATCTTTGTGCACCGTGCCACCTGTTCAACAAGTAAACATAGTTAGCAACTCCTGCTAATATTAAAAACACTTGCAAGTTAGAAAAACTCCACCAAATAAAAAGAATAATCACCTGAAGAGGCTGCTCCTCCTGCATCATTTGCTTATCAGAAACAAGATCCCACTGGCTTGGTGCAGCTAACCCGGTATCAGACTCCTTGATACCTATTATAACAGGAAGCAAACATCTAAGGAGGTGCTTAAGCGTTAACAGCATCCAGTTCATGTAATTAGTAGAACTGGTATAAAACAGAACATATACACAATAACAATTATTAACCCCTTCCTTCAGTTTTTTCCTGGTTAATGAATGATAGCCAC